ATGTTGACACTGTGAACTATATTCATTCAGGACTGTTATCAAAGTCAATATAGTTGACACCATTTAAGGAGTAGAGCAAATATTTCAAACAAAAAGGGGAATGCTTGATACACAAACTTGTGTAGTTCATTTCTCATTCAAGTAGTGATTTGGAACAAAATTAATTCAGTGACGTAAATGATGTTGTTCGCGATATGATGCATTCATCAAAATTGAATTGGGTATAACGGTTGAAGAGACAAACCAACAGATATACAATTTAGGTTTTCTCGTTAACAACGCAATTTCAAGGGAAACAGACAATGAAGAACTTTCCACATAAGAGACTAATTTATGCTGACTACATAACCATTATACTGAAGATGAACAACCCCGAATTTGATATAGATATAATGGTTACATAGGACCAAAGAAACGTCCACTTGAAAGTCAGCGGTCTAGGTCAGTTGTTAATAAACTGTCTGATCACGACTTTGAGGCTATTGTGAGACTGATCGCTAATCGTTCAACTAAAACTCACTCAATGACTTACCCTGTGAAGTGAGCTGTTATATAGATGTGAGAACTTGAGAGTTAGGTGTGACTATGGATATTGTCACAGCTAAGCATGCTTACAATGTCCTCATCTCGAATTTGTACTACAGTCTGATATATTCTCGTGATTCATGACCATTAACAAATCTGGTTTGGTAGATGTAATCATCGTTAGCATTTTATTCAGGCCGCGTCAAGTGTATTGCATATAATGTGATCTTCAGAAACTATGATCGTTTCGATGGTCTGTCTAGTTTTCCATTAGAATTAAAATTATATGGAATTCACTTCTGTTCACCAAAGTTGTTGATCTTCTTCGTCACTTGAAAACTGATTTTGAAGTCAGAAATAAAAGATCACAACATTTTTAATTAATAAATGCTTGACTTCTACTTTATAACACAACCATCATGTGAAACATAGATTAACTGTTTTATTTATTGAATTAACGATGGGTTTGAATGGCTTGATATTTCGTATGAATTAATAGGTTAATGAATGTAATGGAAACTATTGAGATATTTTAGTGTGCTTGCAAATCAATAGAAGAATTGAAGCCTGTTAGGAAAAAGGTGAAATTCGACCTAAATAAAATTTGTTGTTTTGCTTAGTTGAATGTGGCTTGAATAAAAGATAAAAGCAGCGACTGTGGTGTGTCAATATGTATATATGAAGTTCAAGACTGTACTAAGATTTTATAGAATACAGAGAATATTCTTCTAATATACACTGATTACGTTTTCATAATTAATTAGGCAAGCTTGTGACGTGCCAAAATTCACTGTGAAATAAGTTGTTTCTAGGTTCACTGAATAATCAAAGTAAGAAATCAATAGTTGTAGAAAGATTGGCTATCAAGTGATTGAATAATCCGAATCAGTAAATTATAATACTATTAACAATCATTCGAATAGATCTTCCTTTCAATGATTTTTACGATCACTGTTAACTTTCAGTCTAAAATTAGGCAAACTAACATTCATTCACATGTGTAAAAATATGACTCTGTAAAAGGCTTGAGATTTCGTCACATCATCACAACGATGACCATAACGCCAACTGGACGAAATCCTATGATCTCGCTTTCCTTCCTGATTATAGATCTCAATTGATCAATACTGTTCAGTGAGTAAATAACAATGGTTATAATTTGATGATCGCCACGTATTTAAGGGAGTGGAATCACAGGTTATGCGAATATTTGACTGCTTCCGAATATTAACACGTTGGATAGCTCTGAACACTACTAAAATCCTATATCATAATTTTGTCAGTGTTGAATTTTCACTCCGTATGATTGACTCTAATATTCCCAGCGCTAATCCACTACTAACTGTTTTTCATTCAAGGGTTTTGTCATCACAATAATTTCCATATTATTTCGATTAATATCTATCTATAGAAGAACATCAACTTCCAGTTAAAATTAAGCTTGCTAAACTTGAGTAAGATTCAAGTAACTACACATTCAGAACATGAGAGATTTAGAAAGTTCACTATGTTATGGTTACAAAAATAACGTGATAAGTAATCGAAAAATGAATCGGATACTGAGTGTCAAAATGAACTTTTAACTGAACATAATTGTGAAAGCAATGATTGAGCTATTGTAATTCATCATATATGGCCAAGTTAACAGATTTCAAACCCACATTTGTTCAATGGAATACTGAAAGATGACCAACTACTGAGATATGTTAAATTATTTCTGACAAAATTCTATTTGGTAAGTATAAAACTAGTCTAGGAGTACAATAGAACATTCTTATATTTAGAATTTAAGTTTCTAAACTTCACCCCATAGCACAAGCAAGTGGCTATCAGGACTCAGTGGCCGAGTGGATGACGCGATGTCGTTTGAAGCGAAAGCACACTACTTAGATCATCATATTTGTATAAATAGCTGGAAGAGTTTGAAAGTCTGCTAATACTAGTAAAATATTCTTGAATTAAAAAGAAAATCTTTATAAAACTGTCCGTTCTTTTCTTAAACAAATAAAACTCACCAGATATATACAGACAATCTTTTATTGATAATCAATACATTATTTGGACATTCGTATCATGAAGCTCCAACTTCTAATAAAAAATACTCAACAGTGATACGCAAAGTCATGTAGTGAATTGCACGCTCCAAATCAAAATGTGAAGATTGAGATTATTCGATGAGAGTCGTCAGGATAGTCTGTGGAAATCTTTTGTGTTCGACAACGTCGAAAGAATAATTGACGTCATGAATTTGTCTCTCGCCATACATCAGACTCACGGAATATATGCAAGGACCTTAGATTCAGAGTACAACTACTCACCAGCCACTACACATCGAATATCGAACTGATGACTATCTAAAAGCAAATGACATCAAAACACTTCTCTGCTGTTGTTATCTCAGGAAGAGTTTACAAGTAACATCCATTTCATAATAATCGTCATCAATTTTGTTATTTGATATTTCATTTTCATGTGAGTGATATTGGTTACTGTTTCACGTTATTCAGAATCAGACACTCGCTGCGATTTGTGGTGTTAATGATTATTGGTATATCACAAGTGAATGAACATATGAATACACGTTGAATAGTCTCATTCACTTGGATCAGCAATATTATACTTATCCAAATTATAGACATCAGTGTTTTCGAAATTCGTCAACAATACAGTTCAGATGAGAATAAACACATCTTGAGAAACAATGCTCAGAATGCTTCACCTGTCATAGTTCAATAGATTATCGTGACATGAGACCTAAACCATAAACAAGGATTTTATCAATTGAGAGTAAGGTTGATATCATGTTTGCAGTGAACATTCTTACTCCCATAAAGTCCTCAACATGAGAATGGTGAACAAATCTCATGAATCATCAGATATTTGTGAATCTGTTGGCAATGTTTTCAGAAGAAATTTATAACAGCTTCTCAATGATCTGGACATAGGAGATTTTAGGTAACTCTAAAACAGTCTAATGTGTTTATCAAAAGAAATCCAATGGTATGCTATTCACCTGTTTGGTAAAGCATATCGAGTGGACAGGATCAATTAGTTGTACAAATCAGTTGATGATATTATGTTGGATTAAATGTTTGAGTTTTTCCAGTCTTAAACTTACCGACATAATTATATTTTCTCAATTAAAATATATGTTTGAGCTTTCGGGAAGAACTGATAAGAGGGTAACTAATTGAATCATTTCTCTGTTTAAGTGTTTACTTCATGTATACAGGTTTTAATAATAATAATGAAGAATAATGTTGATTTTGATAAAAACTAACATAAAAGGAAGGCGTTATTAATTTCTTAATGCTTTGTGGATTCGTGATTTGGCAGCTTTGTATTTCGTGTCAGTCACAGATGTCATAGCTGATATGACAGTTTAATCGAGTCACCGTTTTGATCAGAAAATTATGACAACATCAAAACGTTAACAGATCCCTGTACTAGTGGACTGGCAATATGTGAAGTAAACGATTAGCCAGTATTCCACATCGCCTTGTGTAATGTCTATAATTGCATTGTGGAAGATGTTCCTAAGTCAAATTATTGGTGCTCCTTATACATATGGAAACAAATGGAAACTTATCTATGCTCTGAGAAGGAACAGTCCAAATGAATTGAGAATCAAACAGTTTGTTGCAGGAGACCAACAATAGCATTTAAGAAAGTTTAGGTAAATAGCGAATGCAGGTCGATAGTAGACCATCCATTTATAACGACACTGAAATCCCGTCTATAAATCTAAACATACTAAACTGTGAAATAAAATTTCATAATTCATTCAGCATTCACACCTATGTGAAACTGACTCAGTCTACCACTGATGCTCTCTTTTGATTAATTATGTTCATCCAGTTAACAATTGCTGGGATTATTTATTATCTTAGGAAATCGGTCTTTATATCCGGCTAGTGATCACTATGTCTTTGTTCGAATCGTAAAACACTTCTTTGTCGCTTATCTGTTCTCTTACGCCTATCACCACTTATTCTGTCGGAAAATATAAAGAGCATTATGCCATTTCGAGGATTGAAATAAGGTTGTGCACTGATCGACCAGTAACAGTAAAATAATGAGATAAAATTAAGTGTATGAAAAACAATTATCCACGTAGAGTGTGAGGAAGATGAAGACTGGATCAAATACAGTTAGATGCTCATTGTTATATACTAGGAAAAAAGTAAGTACTGATAACTTACAGGACCTCTTATTAGACTATTAATCTATTTATATTCCTATGGTATAATTATTCAGTAACTGGATTATCTATGTCTATATTCATCTTATTACTAGCTTCATTTTGACCTATTGATTATTATTATATGATTTATTGTTCCTGAATTATACTTGTGGAGATAGAACCTTAAAACCTATTTTGTAAATAATTTTTCATAGTTTTCGCATGTATTTTCATATTCTGTACATTAAGCATTAAACAATTGTACTTGTTGTTTAAGTGTATTACTTTGAACACTTGTAACTGGACTTCCTTCCGTTTTGAGTACAACATATCGTGGCACTGTTACTGCTCCTCATTAAATACACTCTAATTCACATCTGCATCGTTCTGCTATATCTGCAAATATGTTAAATGAAATATTCATTGCATATCATCTATATTTATAGACAATTGTGACATTCTTATTGAATTCTACGCTTGGTAAACCTACTGGATCTATATCGTCCATATTGGGATTACTAATCTTTTATAATTGTGGATTATTTGGACCAAACTCAACCGAACACGCAATAGCCTGAAGACTTAAGTAAAGTCCCTTATTTTTATCTATGTGTAATTAACTTATTAACTGTTATTTGGTACATAAACTTTAGACATAATATTTTTGTTGCTAATTTTGGTTATCATACATTTCGGTCCACCACAATTATTTGGTGAGCCCTATTATTGTATTATCTCACATTTATTCCATTGTTATATTGTTCATTCGCTCACTGTACGACTCTCTAGCTTATTTTTAACATAATGTCCTCTCCACCTAAGCTTAGTGATATGGATCCTGTTCCAGTAAGCACTCATAGTTCATCATCTAACTTTACTGACAGTATATTTAGTCCAGTCTGAATTTAAGCTTCCACCATATGGAGTGAATAATCCTAGAATCTGGTTTGCTCAAATTGAGGCCTTATTCCAGTCCAGGGGCGTTCGTTCCCAAGCATCAAAGTACGCTTATGTGGTGGGTTCACTCCCGATCGAAATTGCAGCCGAAGTTGGAGACCTTATCTACCAGGTTCCGGAAACCGAGCCGTATGATAAATTAAAAGCGGCTTTAATTCAGCGAACAACAGTCTCAGATGAGACAAGATTGCAACAACTTTTGAACGCATGTGACCTGGGAGACAAAAGACCTTCCCAACTACTCCGACACATGAAACAACTTGAAGGCCCTTATAAACTAGACGAAGCCCTCCTCAAACAAATGTGGTTCAACCGATTACCACGCAGTGTCAGACAAATCCTTGGGGAAGTCTTCCCCCCTCGATGATTTAGCGGATATGGCGTGTAGCTGTAAATAATTCCCCAAAATCAATAGCTCATTAAGTGTTCGATATTGGATGCTGACCATGTTATTTAAGTGGACTTGTTTAGCTGAAGGCTTTCGGTCATGCATCCGCACCAGATCACGTTTCAATACTGCGTGGGACACAGCTCCTACGTTTCATTAGCCAGCTCATAGAAAAGGTCCTAGATATATTGGTAACGAATCAAATATATCTTTCCTGCCTCTTCTCGTTTGACTTCTGATTTTCTATCTGACTGGTAACAACCGAATTTAGAAGGTGCTACTGGTATCTAGTTGTAAAACTAGAATATCCGTTGCATCATTCATTGGTGAACCCGACGTGATCTGGTACACCAAGTCAATATACTGTGAGTCTGTTCCATTTTGGAATATTATTATTTATTGTTATTCTTTATTTGAATTTTATATATTGTGATATACCTTTTTTTTCCGGATATATTTTAATTAGACATTTTCGTTAGCTATATTACTATGACGGAACACTCTCCTAAGGTTCTTAAGTTCAAGTCTATTCCCCCTATTTCGATTCAGTTAACGCCATTTTGGCCCGACAATATCGAGTCCTGGTTCTGCTATGCAGAAGCCGATTTTTGCATGCACGGAATCACGGACTCGCGCACACGTTTCCTCGCGGTAGTTAAGGCGTTACCGCGCGAGTTTAACAGGTACGTAACACCTAGTATGTTTACTAGTGATGTTTCCGAACCTTACGAATCGCTTAAGCTATCGATTTTAAAACGAGGAGACCTAACTGATCGACAACGGTTAGACCAACTCCTTAACAATATCGACTTGCAACATGGTTCTGCGACGGACATGTTGCTTAGAATGAGAGAAGTCATCGGCCAACGAACTTTCGATGATGGCCTATTTAGACAACTTTTCTTGTCTAAACTCCCTCAACAGGTGCAGGCAGTGCTTGTTTCATTTCAAAACAATGCCATAGATGAACTAGCTGCATCTGCCGATCGAATCTTGGAAATCACTAGATCTTCTAAGGCCGAGGTTTTTTCCGTCAAAGAAAAACCCCAATCGACCTCGACTGACATGGCCGAACTATGTCACACGCTTACACGATATCTTAGAGTTCGCAATGACCGTAGTCGGTCAAAAACCCCGCGTAGAAGTGCCTCACGTAAGCGATCTGGCTCTCGACCACGAGAGCCAGACAATCCCGACTGGTGCTGGTATCATAACCAGTACGGTAAGTTTTCTAGAAACTGCAGGAAACCTTGCAATTATCCGACCCCAAAATCGAGTGACACGAAAAACAGTTCGGGAAACTTCCTAGCCGGCACGCGTTAACGGCGACCGTAGCCGGCGAACACAGCCGCCTCTTATATGTCACGGATGTGACTACGAAAGTTCGCTACCTCGTCGACACTGGCGCAGAAGTTAGCGTTCTTCCAGCAAATCTCGACGACAGACTTCGCGAGTCTGTTTTAAGTTTACAGGCGGCAAACGGAAAGCCGATCGCTACTTACGGTAAAAGGTACGTCTACCTTAACGTGGGTTTACGTAAACCCATACACTGGATTTTCGTGGTTGCAGATGTCTCTATGCCAATCATTGGTATTGACCTGTTACAACACCACAATCTACTCATCGACACACGCGCACGAAGGTTAATAGACGGAAACACTAAGTTGTCCGTTTGCGTAACTCCTTGTTCTGGTTGCAGGTTATCCCCAGTCACGATTAAGCACGCCATAGACCCCTTGTACCAAGCAGTACTCGACAAATACCCCGGGATATACCAATCGCAATCGAAATTACCTTGTGTAACCAGCAATGTTACACATCACATCTCGACTACAGGACCACCTGTATTTTCGAAAGCCCGAAGACTCGCTCCCGAAAAACTTAGGTTAGCTAAAAACGAATTCAACCACATGATGGACCTAGGAATAATTCGACCATCGAATAGTCCATGGGCATCCCCATTGCACATGGTCCCTAAAAAGGACAGCAATGATTGGCGTCCAACTGGTGATTATCGGCGTCTGAATGCTAAAACCATTCCCGATCGTTACCCGCTGCCTCATATTCACGATTTGACAGCTACCTTGAAAGGTACAACTGTCTTTTCGAAAATCGACTTGGTTAAAGCTTATAACCAAATCCCGATGGCAACTGACGACATTCCTAAAACCGCCATCATCACTCCCTTCGGTCTTTACGAATTTCTACGAATGCCTTTTGGTTTAAGAAACGCGGCTCAAACCTTCCAAAGGTTTATAGACGACGTCTTCCGAGGTCTCAACTTCGTACATGCGTATGTTGATGACTGTCTAATAGCAAGTCCGGACAGAGAATCGCATCTCAAGCATCTGGACATTGTTTTCGATCGACTTCAAAGGCATGGCATTACTGTCAACATTCAGAAATGCCAAATCGGAACTAACTGCTTAGACTTCTTAGGACACACCATTGATGCCCAAGGCATCCGACCCCTTAGGAGCAAAGTGGCGGCCATTCTGGATTACCCAGAACCGACCACGATCAAGCAGTTGCGAACTTTTAACGGACTCGTAAGTTTCTATAGACGGTTCATACCTAAATGCGCATCCCTAATGAAACCGTTGACCGATCAGCTTCGTGGAAATGCGAAATCAATTAGTTTAGACGACACAGCCCGTAAAGCATTTTCCACAGTTAAGGAACACATCGCTAAAGCAACCTTGCTTGCTCATCAGGACAGTCAAGCGCCCATTAGTATCGCCGTAGACGCATCCGACTCAGCAATCGGAGCAGTCTTACAACAATGGGTTAACAACTCGTGGCAACCTTTAGGATTTTTCTCGAGACGGTTGCTAGACGCTGAATCTAGGTACAGCACGTTCGGTAGGGAACTCCTAGCTATGTATTGTGCTGTACGGCATTTTCAACATTCCATCGAAGGAAGAGAATTCACGCTCTTTACCGATCACAAACCTCTTACCTTCTCTTTAGGTTCATCTTCAGACAAGTACTCACCAAGAGAGTCTCGACAACTCGACTACATTTCGCAGTTTACTTCAGACATACAACATATTTCTGGAGCAAACAATGTAGTCGCAGACGCCTTGTCTCGAATTAGCTCCTTGAACAGTTTCCAAGGAATCGACCTTCTTAAACTCGCTCAGCTTCAAAAAGAAGACATTGATCTTCAGCATGAGTTATCCTCGACAACTCTTAAACTAAGTATTAGGCAGATGGGAACAGGTAAGGAAACCTTACTCTGTGACACATCTACAGGTAGGGATCGCCCAATTGTACCAAAACACTATCGCCGCAACGTCTTCAATACGTTGCACAATCTTTCTCATACAGGTGCTCGTGCAACAATCAAGCTTATAGCCGAACGCTTTTGTTGGCCTGGCATGAATAAAGACGTGAGGGAGTGGTCACGCTCCTGTGTAAGCTGTCAGAAATCTAAGGTAATCAGACACAACAAATGCCCCTTAGGTTCTTTCAAAACCCCTGACGCTCGTTTCGACCACGTCCATCTAGATTTGGTAGGACCCTTACCCGACTCGAACGGATACTCATATCTCCTAACATGCGTAGACCGTTTTACTCGATGGCCAGAAGCAGTACCGATTAAGGACATTACTGCTGAAACAGTGGCTCGCACTTTCGTCGAACGATGGGTAGCAAATTTCGGCTGCCCTTCAACCATCACTACAGACCGCGGACGCCAGTTCGAATCTGGACTTTTCCGTTGTCTGACCACACTTTTAGGAATCACGCGCTTCCGAACGACCGCCTACCACCCACAAGCAAACGGGTTGGTAGAACGTTTTCATCGACAACTAAAAGCCTCATTATCAGCTTCAAACGTTTCACAGTGGACAGACGCTCTTCCACTCGTCTTGCTAGGTATCCGCAATGCAGTGAAAGCTGACATTGGATACACGGCATCTCAACTCGTTTACGGAACGACACTCCGACTCCCAGGAGAATTCGTGAATCCTTCAGCTTCTTCATTGAACATGGATCTAAACTCTTACACGAGTAGGCTTACAAACGCTATGCGTTCAGTTAAACCTGCTCACACTCGACCTCAATCAACTGATGTTTTCGTTCAACCCGAATTACGACATAGTACACACGTCTTCGTTCGTCGAGACTCACATCGACGACCCCTCGAATCAGCATACGAAGGACCCTTCAAAGTTCTTCAACGCGAACCTAAGTACTATGTAGTTGATAAGAACGGTACGAAAGATAGCATCAGTATCGATCGACTCAAAGCTGCGTACCTAGAAGGAAACCCTAGCTACGTCGATTTTCCTTCGGTGCAAGCAAACGACACAGCTACTACACTCGTAGTACCCTACACGACAACCGACACACAACTTGATACTTCGTCAACGTTGATAGAAAAACCTAAAACAACGCGTTCTGGAAGACGAGTAAGATTTCCAGAACATCTTAACGAATATTGCACGTAGGACATAAGCTTTATCTTGAATTACCCTTTCATTGTTTATTATAAATTTTTTTTAATATGCTCATTTTTTTTTATGTATAAAAAAAAACAAAACAAAAAAAAACAAAACATTTTTATTATTTTTTTTTGAGCGTATATATATATATTTATATATTGAAAAAAAAACCCAAAAGAAAACCTTTTTTCCGATCGCTTTTACGCTGTTTGTAAGTGTATCAGTTTATTTTTTTCCGCTCATCTTGTGTCCTTACGCAAGTACGAGTGTATTTTTGACATGCACTCACACGTTTTATTTTTCCTCTTTTCCAGGACGGCTGGAAAAGAACGACGAAGTTTCGCAAGGAACAGAAATTTTCATTGTACTATATTTCTTTATTGCTACGTTGTACATTTTGGTCCCATAGTTTAAGGAAAGACGACCAGACGCTGCTAAACGAAGCAAGCTATCAGAAGAGTGTTTACCAACGACAAATTCGTTGGGTTTAAACTTCTGGCTGATCACGTCTTAGGGGCATCACTACCTCACTAGGGGGGGAGTGATCTGTAGCTGTAAATAATTCCCCAAAATCAATAGCTCATTAAGTGTTCGACATTGGATGCTGACCATGTTATTTAAGTGGACTTGTTTAGCTGAAGGCTTTCGGTCATGCATCCGCACCAGATCACGTTTCAATACTGCGTGGGACACAGCTCCTACGTTTCATTAGCCAGCTCATAGAAAAGGTCCTCGATATATTGGTAACGAATCAAATATATCTTTCCTGCCTCTTCTCGTTTGACTTCTGATTTTCTATCTGACTGGTAACAACCGAATTTAGAAGGTGCTACTGGTATCTAGTTGTAAAACTAGAATATCCGTTGCATCATCAGGCGGATAAGGTAATGGAAGTCTGCCATGATAACCACTATTTAAATACGATGCAACCGTTGGGAGCAGCTGATGTCAGCTACTTAAACTCTATTCAAAGACAACTATCTCAGTTGACGAATCAACTTGAGTAACTTCAAACCACTGTAGCAACGATTCAGGCCAGACAAGTAAGACCCCCTTTTAGACAGAGATCACGTTCTAGACCATGATCTCGTTCACTTAAACGAACATCCGAAATTTGTTGGTATCATACTAAATTCGGCACAAAAGCACGGCGTTGTACACGCCCGTGCGCATTCCTCTCACCCAGCACTGATAACCCGGGAAACGGTCTGGCCAGACAGTAACGGCGGCAGCTGCTACTGGCCAACATGTTAGCCGCCTTTTTCACGTCAGGGATCGCATTTCTGGCTCGGACTTTTTAGTCGATACTAGAGCAGAAATCAGCATCATCCCACTCCATCTCTCCCGTAGACAACAGACAACAAGCACTAAACTGTCCCTAATAGCGGCTAACGAATCAGTTATCAAAACTTACGGAGAACAATCTCTTATATTAGACCTCGGGCTCCGCAGAAGATTCACATGGGTATTCATAGTTGCTCAAGTCAAACGACCCATTCTCGGGGCCGATTTTCTTAGTGCGTACAACCTGTTAGTAGATATGACCAACAAGACACTAATCGACGTAAACACACGTTTACAGGTAAATGTTACACTCTCCAATGACAACGAGATCCATGGTGTTCGAATAACGAAACCTGTGAACAACATCTTCAACGACATTCTAACAGAATACCAGTGTATTACGAAATCAGATTACCAAAAGGAAGGTAACCCACAGCTGGTGCAACACCATATCACTACCACCGGACCACCCACTCGCGCCAGGGCGAGAAGACTCCCTCCAAACAAGTTGCAGTTCGCTAAGAGAGAATTCGAACACATGATGCAACTTGGAATAATCAGGCAATCTAACAGTCCTTGGGCCTCGCCGCTGCATATGGTCCCCAAGAAAGATCAGGACTGGCGCCCATGTGGAGATTATCGCCGATTGAATAACCAGACTATCCCAGACCGGTATCCGATTCCTCATCTACATGATTTTTCGTTAAATCTACATGGAAAACAGATTTTTTCAAAGTTAGATCTCGTCCGAGCATGCCATCAAATACCGATGGCACCTGAGGATATAGAAAAAACAGCCGTTATCACACCTTTTGGCCTGTTTGAATTCTTGAGGATGCCTTTCGGACTTAAAAACGCCGCTCAAACCTTTCAGAGATTTATGAACGAAGTAACTAGAGGTTTAGATTTTGTGTTTGTCTATATTGACGATGTTTTGATCGCTAGTTCTTCCATTAAAGAACATGTTCAACACTTACACACGCTTTTTGAGCGTTTCAAAAGTTATGGCGTCGTGATTAATCCCTCAAAGTGTATATTTGGTGTTTCAGTGTTGGAGTTCCTCGGTCATTACATAGACTCTCAGGGAATCAAACCCCTTCCAAAGAAAGTAGAAGCCATAATCAACTACCCTGAGCCTACTTCTGTTAAGGCACTACGTCGTTTCCTGGGAGCATTAAATTTCTATCGACGATTTCTGCCCAATTGTGCTGACGTCCTACAACCCTTAACAGACCTGCTTATAGATAATAAAGCGAGTAGCAAAAATAAAAACCAACTATTCCACTTATCCTCTGACGCCAAAATAGCATTCGAAAAAGCTAAAAACTTGATCGCTGACGCTACTATGTTACAACACCTAAACACTGACCCCAAAACGCATCTGATCTTGTGTACGGACGCATCTCAAAAAGCCGTAGGGGCAGTGCTACAACAACGAGTTAATAACATTATTACACCAATAGCTTTTTTCTCTAAACGGTTATCACCTGCTCAAGAGCGGTACAGCACATTTGGACAAGAACTTTTAGCCATGTACTTAGCTGTTAAACACTTCAATTTTTTACTACAGGGTCGTGATTTTACTATTATGACGGACCATAAACCCCTGTGTTTCTCATTTAATATGTCATATGATAGACATTCTCCACGTGAAGCGAGACAACTCGATTATATTATTATTATTATTATTCACCACAGACATTCAGTTTATCAAGGGCCATACCAATATTGTCGCAGACGCACTGTCTAGAAAGGATATCAATATGACGGTACTTAGCCATGACATCAGACTTGAAACCTTAGCCAAATTACAAGCAGACGACGCAGAATTGAAGGTTTGTAGAGAAAAGTCTAGCTTGAATTTAAAATCGGTACACATTCCTTTCTCAGATGCATCCATCATTTGTGACACTTCAACAGGCAATAATCGCCCTTTTGTCCCTCAGGCTTGTCGACTAAAGTTATTCCAACACTTGCACGGTTTATCACGTCCGGGCATCCGAGCTACTACAAAGCTGATAACTGAACGTTTTGTTTGGCCCAAAATCAATTCAGATATTAAACGATGGACACGGGGTTGCCTTCAGTGTCAACGTAGTAAGATCCAAAAACATACTATTAGTCCCATTGGGGAGATTCCTATCTCTGACAAACGTTTTCAACATATTCATTTGGATTTGGTTGGGCCCCTGCAACCGTCGAACTCTTTCACTCACATTCTCACTGTGGTGGACAGGTTCACTCGATGGGCGATTGCATGCCCTATCAAAGACACATCGGCAGAGACAGTTGCGTCAGTTTTTCTCGACCGATGGATATCGAACTACGTAGTACCTGCAATTATCACTACTGATCGTGGCCCACAATTTCAATCCATTTTATTTCAGGAATTCACCAGACTCCTTGGGGTCAACCACATCAAAACAACGGCTTATCATCCAGCAGCTAATGGCATGGTTGAAAGATTTCATCGCCAATTGAAAAGCTCGCTGACGACTCAAGCTGATCCTACCAAATGGAGCGATGCCTTACCACTCGTACTCCTCGGTATTCATTCCACTATTAAAGAAGACATTGGATGCACTGCTGCCGAATTAGTCTACGGTACAACATTAACATTACCAGGCCAATTAGTCAATTGCGAATCTACAACGATAGGAGATCCTTCCCGTTTCGCAAGCCGTTTACTACAGACGATGCAGAATATTAAACCAATACCCCCGCGACAACATAGCAACCGGGTGCAACTAGATAAAAACCTTGAAACCTGCAAATTCGTTTTCGTTCGAGTTGACGCTGTCAAAAAGCCACTAAAACCGCCATACGAAGGTCCTTATAAAGTAATCAAACGTACTCCCAAACATTTTATTATCACTCGAAATGGGAACAAAGAAACTATTTCCATTGATAGAATCAAACCAGCGTTTTACGAACCGACTCACCTTAAAGAAGTTACCATCGAAGAACAACAACCCCTCCCTTCTGCTCCTGTTAAGCCAATGGAAGACGACAAGTTTCATCTTAAACCGTCTTTAACCCGATCCGGTAGGTTGATAAAAAAACCTAAGCGCTACGTACATTTCGCCGACTAACAAAAATTGATTCAATTACACGCACTTTATTGTTGTTACTCAATTTTCTAATAAAAGCTATTTATTTACCTTACATATACATTTAATAATTACATTTATTTATTATCACTGGTTTTGCCAATTTTTTTAATAAGAAAAATTGTCAAAGTAATAAACGAGTGAATGCTAACTAACTATTTATTAAAAACAATCCAATTTTTTTTATTTTATGACTCTATTAACAGTTTTGCACATTTTATTATTATTGTTAGCAAACGGAAACTTTGTAATGTTTGTTTTTCAGTTTCATTTTGCGTAGCATAGCGTATATTATTAACGTGCCATTTATTCCTATTTCCAATTTTTTTTCCGTTATTACAGTGAATACTATTTTATGTACATTTATACACAATATTTCTCAATTTTTGATGTTCATATTGTAAATAGTGTTACCTCCGGACATTCTGGGGGGAGCTATGTGGAGATAGAACCTTAAAACCTATTTTGTAAATAATTTTTCATAGTTTTCGCATGTATTTTCATATTCTGTACATTAAGCATTAAACAATTGTACTTGTTGTTTAAGTGTATTACTTTGAACACTTGTAACTGGACTTCCTTCCGTTTTGAGTACAACATATCGTGGCACTGTTACTGCTCCTCATTAAATACACTCTAATTCACATCTGCATCGTTCTGCTATATCTGCAAATATGTTAAATGAAATATTCATTGCATATCATCTATATTTATAGACAATTGTGACATTCTTATTGAATTCTACGCTTGGTAAACCTACTGGATCTATATCGTCCATATTGGGATTACTAATCTTTTATAATTGTGGATTATTTGGACCAAACTCAACCGAACACGCAATAGCCTGAAGACTTAAGTAAAGTCCCTTATTTTTATCTATGTGTAATTAACTTATTAACTGTTATTTGGTACATAAACTTTAGACATAATATTTTTGTTGCTAATTTTGGTTATCATACATTTCGGTTCACCACATACTCGGTTTATTGAGTACTGTCTCCCACGCTTCCAGCCACGTTTGGCTTGATTTTGTACAAATATTATTTTTCTATTTTATGGTGTGGTCTGCCTGTCTGGTATATAGACAAAGTATGTTTGAAATAAATGTTTCGCATTACAGCAGCTGCTATTGGTGTTCTGGACTCAAGTGAACGGGTTAGGCGGTTAAGGACCAATAAGGACGCTAGATTACTCATACTAATCGAACGTCATTGTCACAGTGTGAAGGTCATAGAAGGCGTATTCTATTGGTGGATAATTTACACGAATTACGTTCTTGTTAAATTCGTAAGGTCATAACGAATCAGCGACGACCTTGGTCAAGTCATAACAATTGGCTACATCCTAGGTCAAATACATAACACTCATAACATATAGCTAAAAATTAAACACATTTAGATCAAGTCACAGTTAATGATTAGTGTGTGACAAATTATGTATGACAGTGATGATAAGATGATAGCTTGCACGTGACGCCTACATCAAATTATTGCTGTAATTTCCTGTATAACAATATGCGAGTGTGCTTCAAACGGGATATCAATTTCTAGCTATGCTACTCACACAGGCTCCACAGTTTCTATATTTGGAAGGACAACTTCAATACTACTGTATCTCAGAACATATCGTCCAATAAAAACGATTTCTCAATTGTGACCAAGTATCTCATGTCCTATTGAATAAGTGCCATGAGCCCTACGAACGTTCGACCAACATCTTGAGTAGACACGCCAAATGGTATACTTTATGTCTAAATATTCGCCTAATATTTTACTTTACGCTTGGCAATCTGGTCCAAACTTTTCAAGGAAATATATTTTCTTGAAATGTCACAAAATGTTGAATATCCAGTTTTCATGTTGTGCATCCAAGTGAATGAGACTATTCAACATGTATTCAAGTGTTCATTCACTTGTGATATTCCAATGTTCATTAACACTACAAATCGAAGTAAGTATCTGATTCTGAAACAAGTAAAGCGATGACCAATGTTACTCACATTGAAAATGACATATCAAATAACAAAATTGATGACGATTATTATGAAATGGATGTTACTTGTAAACTCTTCCTGAGATAACAACAACTATAATAATGCGACTGAGAATTGTGACGTGGTGTAGAATTGTTTTAAACCATGTCAGATTTTCTACTGTGAAACACGATAAGCAACATAAGTTAGAAGAAACATCTGACAAATGTTGAATAGATGTGCAATGATCTGTGGACGATTTTCATCTGCAATTCCACTGACATTTTATATCAAACGTTTCTTATTACATATCTTGATCTCATATAATTAGAAAGAGAATGCTTGATTTAATGTGTATGATGGAGATATTGAATTCAATAATTAACGATCTGACGTTAAATCAACATAACTCGTTTGAGCTGCATGACTTGGCTAATTGGAGATAGGAATACTTACACAACATTGATTTGCAACCAATGTCATCAGTGAGTTGATATCTCCCAACAGACTTGGATGAACTCCACTGGTCACTGCTTCCACTAGAACTCCAGGACATGTATCTTGAAGTCAGTCACTAGTGAGCATATGATTATAATCAGAATGGTTTTGCGGAGATTTCAGTATTTTTCAGAGTTGAAATCATGAGTCGATTGAAGCTGGATGCTGGCTAAGTGGTCCATCGGTTAAGGGCTCTGGATCGAGACTGGTAGGTCCTGGGTTCGAATCTCGCGAGTGCGGGATCGTGGATGTGCACTGTTGAGGAGTCTCATAATAGGACGAAACGGCCTTCTAGTGCTTCCAGGTTTTTCAAAGTGGTCTAGCTTCAATCGAATCATGATTTCAACTTTCAAAAAATAATGGTCAATTGCCCTTTTCAGACATACTTTTGAGTCGAACGGAGGATGGCACTATATGACGGTCAGTTTATAGGAAACCAACGTGGACGGAGCAATACTTTTTATGTTGGTTTGTTCTCTGAGCTGGATGGTTTGGTCGTGGAGCTTTCATCGTCCTTCTGAACGACATCATCAGCACAAACTTCGGGTAGAAGTGAAGTGTTTGAATTTCTCCACATGGGATTCACAGCTTGTCCTCTGCACCTCGATGTTGATTGGTTCTTATTGACCTTAAATCTGTCATTGTTTATTTCTTTGTTTTGATTTTTGTTCCTATGTTCCTGCATAATTTTCTTGATTGGTTGATAGATTGGATTGATTTCAATATGTTTGTTTATTGCTGATTGACCTGAGTGCCAAGCTTCTAAAAATTCTCTGATATTTTTGGAATTGCCCAATCCAATCAATTTCATCAAAAAATACCAGTCGCACACACCATCAGAAATGAAGTCAAGTATAAAAATCAACAAAAGGATCACCCTACCATACATAAAGGGCATATCGGAAACGACAACAAGGCTGCTGAAAACCTTCGGAATAGGTGTAACCCACAAACCAACAAAGTCCCTCCACTCAATCAAACCAAAAGATGAAATGGCAAAAGAGGACAAAACAAACATCATCTACAAGATAAATTGTACCAACTGCAACAAACACTATATTGGACAAAGCGGACGCCCCCTGCATCTTCGCCTACATGAACACCAATTAGCAGTCAAACGCCACGACATTTCTTCACTCATATCAATACACGTGGACAACTACGGACATACATTCGACTGGGAAAATGTGCAGATTTTGGACAGAGGCAATTCCAAAAATACCAGAGAATTTTCAGAAGCTTGGCACTCAGGTCAATCAGCAATAAACAAACATATTGAAATCAATCCAATCTATCAACCAATCAAGAAAATTATGCAGGAACATAGGAACAAAAATCAAAACAATAGGAGAGACAATCAAAACAAAGAAATAAACAATGACAGATTTAAGGTCAATAAGAACCAATCAACATCGAGGTGCAGAGGACAAGCTGTGAATCCCATGTGGAGAAATTCAAACACTTCACTTCTACCCGAAGTTTGTGCTGATGATGTCGTTCAGAAGGACGATGAAAGCTCCACGACCAAACCATCCAGCTCAGAGAACAAACCAACATAAAAATCACCCACCTGAACTACAAATCTTCTCCACAGAGCAATACTTAAATTTTCATAGTTTCTGCCCATTGCAATACAAGCCAGCCTTGATAAATTGTCTCTTCAATAGGATTAAGTGAATGCGCACCACTGACACGGTTGAAAAAGATAAAAAGTCGCCGACTGACACATTAATATCAAATGGTTATTCACTAAAGTTTATTAATAAGCACAATGGTCAGTTGACACCAACTCACTTACTTACGCCTGTTGCCCCCCATCGAGGAGCATAGGCCGCTCACCAGCATTCTCCATCTGTCCTGAGCCTTCCTTTCCAGTTCTTTCCAGTTGCTAGTCATCCTTTTCACATCTGCTTCTATTTCCCGGCGTGTTGACACCTCTTGTTTGTTCGATTTCAAAATAAAACGTTTATATCTATCTATCATATAGATGTGAATCCAATAGTACAGTTTTAAGACAGATTGAAAACAGTCATCGAGAAAACGTATTATGCTGTTCAATTGGTAGTGATTGAAAAATCTAAGCCCATCATTCCAAATAGACATATACAATGCACAAATGATTGTGTCACATACCATTGTATTTAACAATTTACATGTTTTTGTGAACAAATATACATAGGGAGGAGCAATCGAACAATACAACCAAGAGTCATTGAACATGTGCCTAGATGAGTTAGAAACCAATTAATATCGAATGGTTCGATCAACATGGCAGTTAGAAAACCATGTCGATTGATAGCGAAACGTATAATTGAAACGGGGCACAGAATTGACATTAATACAGCTTTTAAAAAGTTGTATAGAAATTGTGAAGGACTAGTTCTCAGCTTTACTGAAGCTTTGACAATTTGTAAATTTGAACCGACCCATGTGTACGAAAACAATTTGTCGTAACCCTGGATTTACCGTGGTAATACTTAAGTCGTTCTACGGCCTGAGATAACACAACAATTTCTTATTATATCTATACGACGTAAAATTTTTCTCTTTCCTTTGTTACCTTTTTTACTTGAACTTTCATTTAATTGACCTTTATTAACTTTCATGTAAAATAACCTGACAAGTAAATGTGTGACAAGATTCTTCGAAATGTATAGAGCAAATACATCGCATTTTCCAGATCGACTCCGTCTTAAAAATGTTCTATCGAAAATTATAAAAAGGGGATAATTCCTTTATACAACTAATACACTGACTAGAGTTAGTGGAGCAGAGTAGTTATGCAAAAACACTTTGGACGTTAAGAAATAACTGGAACCATGCGGAAACAGCAAGTAGCTAGTACGATGAAATCAATCGCCTTATGCAAACTCACAACAAACATATGTAAAGTTGAAGTCATGTATTTCAATTTACAAACTATGCTCCAGGTCAGTTTTACAATACCGCACGTTTATTCTTAGTAGTGTTCTCAGAAAACATAAATTAACTCGAGACTCCGTTCAGAGACTATTTGTACTTCGCGTTCTTGTGCTGATTAAACCTCGACTCACAAATCCAGATGTGATAAATTTCAGTTTGAATTTTTGTGGAGAATGGGGCTTAAACTAAATCTAATCTTCCTTTTCAGAACACTTAATTACTTAGTTTTTATACTCTGCAAAACTATGCAATCTACAGAAACTTTTGGTTATAACAACTGTAACTCTCTGTCATTAATGAAATAATGTCATTCATCAACGTCTCTCTGTACATATTACATTATTAGTAGATTTTCAAAACTCTATGATAATCTATCAGAGTGTGTGTAGGATAAAATCACTCCTATTCTTTTTTTTTGCTGCATCGATGTTCATTTCCGCGAGTGTGATTTTCGGAATTTGCAATGCTCAACAGTTTAAATTACTGACCCCACTATTGACATGCTGTTATTTTGCACTAACATCATCCCCCGTAACCTTGACCAATTCGTACAGTGTCTTACTCAATTAGTAGGACAGTGCACAGCCTAAAATATTCGTTACAATTGACCTGACTAGCTGACCCATTGCTATAGTTGTTCCATACTAGCTGTGAACGTTCTGATTTTTATGGCTGTAGATGAATATGATCAATCTGTTATGTCAGCACTAGTGAATTTCGATACAACGA